ACCAGGTGCGATATACATACAGACCAGTAGACACGGCGGCTAAAGTAATGAAAAGGTGGAAGCAATCTAATTTGTACAATTTAATTACAGCGTTGTATTTATTGCGTCCCATTAACATTCTACGCTGCCCCTTGGGTTAACGAGGTTTGTGACGTTATTCGGTCACTGCGGGACATGAAACAGACCAGGGAATCGCTGGCTAGATATGAAACAGGCCTTGTAGGGCCCGTACCTTTGGTCTCCGAACCTTAACGTAATTGTCAACTTCCAAACAGCAATACAACAATCTGATGAACATTGATTTACAGGATAGGCATGGCTTGTCCAGAATGCAATGTACTATACATGCGATGTAGTAAAACGTATAATTGACTTTGATGTGCGCGTGCGTTGTGAACGTGGCGCCCTCAGTATAATGATGTGTGTTAGAAACAATAGTACTTAGTATTCGGCGTACTTTCAGGCAGATATAGTTCTATTGTTGCTGTTATGAGGCACTCTTTAGTACTCTAGATATATTGACATAGCAGGGTCAAACTAAGCCAACGGCGCTCACTAAAAATTGAAATAATTTCCTGAACTCTGATTGACGCTTCATATAATTTGTCATTTCCAGTTGACATCCCTATTGATTCTAAATGTCAACTGAAAGGAGTCCAGTGCTTAAATAACAGCAAGGACTATTACATGTGGGCGTTTTTCCATTTAGCTCCTAGATTAAACGGGAACCAATCATGACTTGACGTTGAATTTAAAATTTGACAAAAACTCATGAATGATTTTCGACTAACGTCGTCCGACAGAAATGGTATCCATAGAAATACGACTTGATCCTACAAAATTGGCTGGTCCGCCATTTGATTCAAAACATTGACATGAAATATATATGTTTATCTTTGTTGCTGCCAACCCAAGGTTAATAATCTTTACAAAAATGACCGGTGTTCATTGAATTACTTCGTGCGGTTTAGTTTGGTTTGGTTTAATTTTATTTCTATCAGCAGCTAAGGTCATTTATGGCCGTGCCTCCATGTGTGCAGTGTATGCGTGCTTGCGTGTGTGTATGCAGGAGACAGGGTATGTTGGCGTGCTTGCCTCCTTGTGATACCGCAGATCTGATGACGACTTTATAGAGCTATCTCACTGTAATACTTTGTGCGGAACTGCGTTGCATACCACCATGATTGTCAAAAAGTTGCATTTTTATTAATTTCTTTCATGTGAGAGAAACGAATTTAAAAATCCTTTCCGTCATACTTTTAATTTCCATAGCTTGTATGCGAGTATTTTCGACGAAAATCTCTCTGTGACCGTATTTTGTCCCAAACGATATTGACGTCATAACTATTGTTCTAATTCTATTGTTTGCAATTAATAAACAATTTTTATTTAAAACATGATATACATTTATTCACTTCGTATGTTGGAAGACAGTTGATAAAGAATACAAGATGTCGCACCACTTATGTCTACAAAGAACTACGTGTTTCATCACTGGTTGCAAGCGAAAATCAGTTTGTCATGTCGTTTTATTTGATCGAATGTTTTACAAAAAAAACCCACATTGATACGCGTCATAGATTTCAATCGAAAAATTGTAAAATTTAATGTCACGTCAAAACCTCCACTCGAATGTTGCAGAAGAAAGAAATGTCTAGCGTCAATACTTTCACTCGAATGTTGTAAACAAAAAAGGTATTCTGTCTAAACTTTTAATAAAAAGTTAAAAGAAAATTTATCACGTCAAAACCTTCACTCGAATGTTGTGGATAAAAGGAAGTATATTGGGTCAAAACCTTCATTCGAATGTTGTAGATAAAAGGAAGTATCTTGGGTCAAAACCTTCACTCGAATGTTGTATATAAAAGAAAATGTTTCGCGTCTAAACATTCACTCGAATGTTGAAAATAAAATGAACTCAAAATCTTTAATCATATGATGTATACAAAATACAAGACATTTGGAACGTTAAAGATTCGTCAATATCAAATACGTCTTTTAGCAATGTTTAAATGCAGGCAAAATCTGGTTATCTTACCGAATTAAAAATGATTGAGGAAATTTAAGGAAATGCTTCCTTAGAATGAGAACTTGAACCTTGCATGAGGCAAAACAAAATGCGTTGACGAATCTGATTCGTTCGACTGGCACACCAATACATGTAACAACCGAAAAAGTTCAGCAGCCTTTCCGTTGAAATAGTCCCCGTCGTCAATCCGTGGCTTGATTTACCATATGTAGGTCTAATTGGCGTAAAGTACACCATGTTTTAATGCGCCTGTATTTAAAACCACTGTAAAGCAATCAAAGACACGGAACGCGGAACGGCTCGTCAATTAAGAAGCTGCGTTATAGCTGACAACTCTTTTCTACGACTGCGTGCTTCCGCTATGTTTAAATAAAAGTCTCCCGAGCAAGTGTGTGCTATCTAAATTTAATTACTGAATTGACATTCCAATGGCGCGATGGTACAAATTAATAGTCAGTTTTGATTTCTACAAGCCCCATGTTGATGGTGTGACGTAAAGAAACAGGATCATTTTCTGCTGGGACAGGGATATATGGCAATTTGGATGGCAGCGGTATGTCCCCGTGGAATAAAACTTAGTCACTGTAAATTAGCAACGATAACATTATTGTAATTTAAAATTCGAAGCTAATAAAAATCAGAGAATAAATGTTTTCTAAGGTTTGAAATCACAACGAGGAGATAAGTGTTGTGTGCCTTATGGAGTTGTCTGGCCCTAGCGCGGCTTCCGACACGACTCCAAGAAAAATCCAATACCCAATCTCTAGACTTTTTCCCGGCTTGCATGTCAGAAATGGTATAGGTCGTGTTGTTATTTTGAAATAATCACATTGTCACAAAGCACGCGACTGTTTTACTGCGAAAGAGTTCTCGCAAATGACCCCGTAAATGTTGGGTTCGTTAGCCTATTAAATCATTATATGTTTTGTAGTTTGCCTGTCTTGTTTATTATCACCAACACTTTTCACATTCATGGATGAAGTAAAATATTTGCAATTCGATGAATCACAGATTATTTTGATTTGCTATGTGTACAGGAAAACATAATTATTGGTCTATAGCCCCTGGACGCAGTACGGCATTGTAGCCAGCGGTCGCCGTGCCTCCACGTCTCTCGCTCGCCTTATACAAATTAAGCTATTTACATGCAAGTGGATGCAGAAATTCTTATGCATAAAAAGGAGGATGTCACAATAAATCTATGGACAATCCAATAGCGAGTCGGTTGGCGTTCTGTCTAGTGTTACGGAGCGGCATATCTATACGGACAGTCGAGCAATTCTACAGAAAACAATCACGCTAAAAGATCCGTCAGATACTCTCTAAAACACCACTATTCAAAGTGAACCGTCAGATACTCTCTAAATCCTGTATCGTCCAATGCTCTCTAAAAACACCATTATTCCACGTGCACCGGCAAATACTCTCTAATACATGTACCGTCAAATACTCTCTAAAACATCACCATGCCAGTCGTGTACCGTCAGATACCCTCTAGGAAAGCCATTGTTTCAACTGTCCAGTAAAATATTACCATGCCGACCATATACCGTCTGATACGCTACAAGACCTTCATTATACTAAGTATAAACCGTATACAGTCAGAAACTCTCTCAAACAACAAGCATACAGAAAGCAATATCCTATTAAAATAAGGTTGGCTTAAAAAAACTCCGCGACAAAAGGCTTACATTCCGGTCAATACTGCATGTACATGTATTTTTGGTAATAATTGTTGTACTACTGCTGTCATTGAAACATTCTCAACACGATGATCGTTAAGCATTAAAACTGTAGGAAAACAAAGAGTCTGTTGTAAAATGAAAATGAAAAGAACTAAGTAATTGCTTTATAAAAAACAAAGCTTTATTCCATCCTTTATGTTACAGTGAGATCACAATTGTTGGATCAGTGGCATTCCATTGGTGAATGCTTATCACGTGGTCATATTTGGTATAGCGCGTTCGCGAAACGTCGCTGTCACCTAGATTGTACAAATGTCCGTGGCGTCATTGAGCGCTAGTGGAGGGCGTTTGTCGTAGAGGGAAGGCGCATACAGAAATATACTTAACGTGCCACAAACACAAGCTGTCGTGAAAATGTAGAGGAATAGCCGGTCCATCACCATAGCAACGTACTTCCAATCTCGAACTTCCTGAAAACGTAGAGTTCTTTTTTAAGATACATAGATGCAGATGATCTCAAAGAAATTAACAGTGTTGAGTTCTTAACCGTACAGTAAATAAGTGTAAAAATAATACTGAAACGACTTATATTGCTTTATTATAATTTATATATCTAATATATCTTATATTCATATATTACCATCATACACCCGATCAAATGTCTATTAACACAATACAACCATACGACGTATGTTGATGTATGACAATCATACATTTATAACAACTTATATTCCTGTATGACCATCACGCATCCCAAGAGTCGAAAGGTTTCATGTATGACAAACAATATATACATCAGTAACATCATTCATTAACAAACATTCATTTAACTTATATTCCTGTATGACCACCAAACATCTATTACAACTCCAAATGCAGTACTTGTTAATTTTATTGAAGATAGAAACAGCAATGTCGACTTACCGAGTTATCGTCGTCCTCGGATCGGAGATGATTGGCGATGTACGTAACGCCTTGGAGTGCATCACGCACTTCCGTTGGATATTTATTCATTTCCGCTCTCTCCTCCGACATGTTCCTTTGGTGGAGGTTATCGTACTGATTGGAGGTGCCCCGAGAGGACGTCCCGGTACTACTATAGATGTTTCTCACCTCCCTCATTTCTATCCCGTTAACCGTCCGTATCGGCACCTTCTGTTTCCTTTCTAAGTCGGGCTTTTTCATCAATAGTATCCTAGGTAAAATTTCTGTAAAAACACGTTTAACCCATGGATTCATTTTATGTGTTGTGGGAGTTCTGAAGTTGATGCCAAGAGTGTAAACAGCTAGAAAAATGGACATAGTCACTACTATCATGGTAAACAGCAGATACTTTCCGATCAGCGGTATGACCAGCGAGGTTGGCGGGTTTATATCGGACAGCAGCAGGAAGAACACAGTTAGAGCCAGGAGGATGGAAATACTGAGCGTGATTTTCTCCCCGCTGTCCGAGGGCAAGTAAAACACAAGTACAGTTAGACACGAAATGGACAGACAGGGCATAATCAGATTGAGGGAGTAGAAAAGAGTCCTCCGCCTCAATGTGATATTAAACATGATATCGTAGTACGGCTGTTCACAACACGGGTAATTTTTCTCCTTCCGCCGTGCCGTCACATTAATGATATCCCATTCGACGTTCTGGTAAAAGTCCCGGATGTCGATACCCCTGTCAATCACCTGCTCGTTCTCGCCGACCATGACGGCCTTGGAATCACACAAGTGACGTAGGTCAACCTGATGTCCATCGTATGTCCACGTGCCAAACTTCATAAAGCATTCTTGCATGTCGAACGGGAAATACTCGACGTTGATTGGACAATAGCTCTTGTAGATGACCGGTGGCTCCCACACTACCAGACCAGTGAAATGGACAGCAGCTTTCGTCAAAAGGGTCACTACATAGTCTCCATCCGCACTGAAACGACATAAGATCAAACATTGGAGGAAAGGTCACACATTTGTAGTCACAAACATAATCAAGATACAGTTATATGAGCCGAATGGTGGAATATATAACGAGGATGGAATTAACCAATTACTACATGCTGTTTCGGCTAGAGTTCATTATTTTTCGAACATTTAAAAAGTTTAAGTTATATAGTCCACCATCAAATACAAAACACATGCTGATATCATTTATATTTATTCTACAACATTAAAATAAAATCTAATGTCCTTTCGTGTTTACATCAATGCTAAAAAAGGCAATGTGGCCTAGATAATCTAATATGCAAATTGGGCTGTTCTTTTGCACGCGCAAACGTCTGTCACGTAATGGTTCTGTTGTGCCAGTTTACATAAATGTATGTGGAACGTTTAGATATATACTTACACGCGCATGCTTTCATTCGACAAAGCAAATTCGTCCAAGACAAGTCAAATACGGCTCAATATGTCACATTTGCAGAACAGAGAGGCTTTTGCAAGAACGTTAATTTGGTCACTATTCAATAATGCATGCTTATTAACCAATGAAAAGTGTCTTTATATCACCGAATTCATGATTGATGGTTACGTAAGATTGTTTAGTTTTCACGTAAACTTAAAGGGGTTTCATCCATTGCAGTACACACAGCGTTTTCAGTACACCCCACAACCCTAACAAATCGTGGTTATTACATATGATTATTTTTTTATTTTCTTAAAAGTATTATTTACCAAACGCCACATTGAATCGAGATGTGTAAAAGTAGTTCCGGTATATGACGTAACACTTCGGAGAATGGAGGAGGATTGCTGGGGAGTGCTCGGGTACATTATTACTCTAAGAAAGTCCTTCAACAGGGGAATCGCTGCTAAAATTGAATTACCGAAATATTTTGTAAACGGAAAGCTCTCGTCAGTATTGGCAAGCTCACGCACTGAAGCGCGGTGTTATAGGACCTTTGTATCGTTTGGTTACAGTGACGCTATCACTGTACCCTGACAAGCTACCGTCAAGTAGCGCTCGAGAGTCGTTTTCGCTCCTCAACCATCTAAAACCTTTTATATATGCCATGTCCAGCGTCCAGTACAATAAGCACGACTCTTTTGTTGTCTGTATAGGTTTCTGTGGTATCCCGACCTTAGCTAATAGAATTGCCCTATACTGTGTATATAATGTATCGGTAAACTTTATTTTGGATGTCTTTCCACTATGAAGACCAGTTATAGCCAAAATCTTATTCAGATCTTCCGAAGACTACACGGTACTGTTGTTACTGTATCTTTAACAATCGCACAGACCAGCGATTTGATCAAGTGGTATCTTTTAGGGCACAATCATGATGGCGGTGATTATAATGGATTTATGGAAGTTAAAACGCCACTCTGTAAACATAGATGGCGCTGTTGACTGTTTGTGTATTGGCTAGGAGAGATTGTTTGTCATGCAACGACCGCGATACTTAGATCACACGTGCTTTTCTTACACGAGAGCTCGATGGTTTATGTCCCCACGGCAGAACAGGCCAAACGAATGTGATTGCACTCAAATCTCAATAAAAACGCATCTATTACTCTATCACACAAATGAAGCTAACCTATGACGTGCTCTCATGGAATTCATTTACTTTTCAGCGATAGGTTTCTTTACAGAAGCGATATTATTTTCATGAAGACTTAAACATCACATATGGGTTATCCGCAGAGGAATTAAACTGAATGCAGTCGGCAGTGTAGACTGATAGCACAAAAGGAAACCCGGGAAGTCTGTTCGTTACTAAACTCCACCGCTAGTATTTAGCATTACATGTCGGAGTTGGGAGACGATAGCCGGGCCGGCGCCTCATTGGTACCTTGGGTATCACGGTAGAAGACGTAGACGGCGTGCGGGCCAGGATCAGACGGGGTAGACATGCACTGTTAGGCCACACGTGTGGAAAACCTAACGTCATAAAGTTGACCCCTACAACAGCGAAAGTGTGCCGCTGTGATGTCAACTCCCGCAGAGACTGGCGTCACTACAAAACTGGATTTCCTGCTGTAGTTTTTTCTCTGATTCAAAAAATTGTTTCGAAAAGCGCAGCCTGGCGGAGTGAAATGGTACTACGGCAGGTAATCGAGTCCAGCATGTAGTCGACTCAATCACTTTCTCACCCCGGCATGACGCTATTAAGTAAACTCGTGCGGGAGAGAGAAGTGTTACGTTTGACCCACTCTTGGAACATAGAGATACGTCTGCATTTTTACAAGGGTTTTGTGACAGAAACTTCATTTTTTTCTTGTCGTAGTATTATGAACCGGGCAAACAATAGAACCTGTGTCATTTTATTTTTATTTCTTGCTAATCTAGCATCTTTTCAGTTTTTCAATCCCTTAATGCCAGTTCTTTTCATTACTGTCAAGAACCCTTCATTAAGAAAATTAACGACACTGCACTTCCGGTTAAAATAAACTGTAAACGAGTCTACAATAGTCGTCTCGATTTGTAACGTGTTCGATTTTTTATTTTATCATCTTTTAAATCATTAATGAAGTTTTTGTGCCTAAATCAAACCTCTTAATGACCAATAATATGTAAAACTGTGAAGTCGACTCAAGTAACAGTGAGAAACGTGCGCTGTAAACACCCTAGCAACCTGACACAAAGATGTGAAGTCGACTTCCTCAAAAGCTAGGTGCTTCAAAGACGGCTCGTTTAGGACGAAGAAGCGCGCGGCCCTGGATTCGACTCCGTTAAAATTTGGAAGCGTATACCGTGGCATTTTCAAAAAGACTTGACTGTTACTTACTTGTTGTACAAGACAATGTCCGGCCGCCAGAGGTCGTTGGATGGAATGTGTGTGACCTGTAGGCCGCCGTACGCCCGAGGGTCCCACTTCAGACGCCCGTCAATCCATTCCTGGCAACAAAGTGAATAAGAAACTGTAATAAATGATTTTTGGGTAAGTCAGCGAATGTTATGTAAGATAAGTGCATACATTAGTTTTTGATTTTAAATACATGAATATAGGGATTGTATTATGTCTTTGCCTAAATTTAAAATGAATGTATACTTATCACTAGCGTGATAAATATCCAATTAAATCAACACCCCGATATAAATCCAACCTCTTACTGGATAAGACAAACAAATGATACCGAACAAAACCGCAAATACGACAGTTGTCAAGTTCTAGCTTAAAACACTAAGGAATCCAGATATTGAAAGCCTCTGATAGGGTTCATTTTAAAACATAGAGCAAAGATTAATCAAATGGATTGCAAATTACCTACGCATTCTTCGAACATACATTTACAATAATATGATAAAGGAAACAGGCATATTATTAGATTTGAAATAAAAATAAAAAGTTGAATTCGATGATTTTTTGGAATATGTCGGTTGAAACGAATTGAAATATTATGGAAGATCAAACACGAACAATTACCATTCAAAAATAAAACTACCGGTGTTAGACAAGGCGCCGTTCTTAGCCCTCTGTTATTTTTCATTCTTATTCTTAAATTACCCTGCACCGTACACCTGTTCCATCCGTCTATGACAATATATTATTATTACATGTAGTTTCTCATATCAAACTCAACACACAGCTACAAGTTATGTAAATGATAATGTTAAAAATTAAAAATACACGTATAGAATTAAATCGGCTTTCACTTAGCTCGTAAAATTCAACCCAAATAAAACCAAAGTTTTTAGATTCTGTCCCTCTGCTTATGACAATGACATAACTTTTCTGACTTTTCTGACCGCCATAAACAGCTGGGTATCGCTGTTAGTTTGAATTTTAAAGGGAAAAGACATGCAGAAAATGTCCGTTATGAGACCTTTAATAAGCAGGAGCACTTCGAGAACTAAAATACGTAACACATTTCAACACATTAAATTAGGGGATAGTACGTTGCTTTGAGTGGCTATACTGGCGATTAGAACATGAAATTTGGGTTTGAACTCGAGACCGATAGGTCGAGAGTTTAAACCAAATTTCATGTTCTAATCGCCAGTATAGCCACTCAAAACAACGTACTATCCCCATTCTAACACACCTTAACAAATATACTACGCTAATATGTTTAGAAACATTGTATTTCCTTGTACAAAAGTACGTAGTAAAATACTTTGTGACCTGAACTGGCGACGTGTCAATCTGCAGCGGACTGACCAATCGGAAAGAAGCTTTCAAAAGTCGGTCATTTGGCCCCGCCCATACTGGTAGGCGCTCGATCTGGAGGTTGACGAGGCGGAATATTTGGATTGTTCGTGAACGTCCTGTTACCGAAGTTTATACGACACATTCGGATTGATATTGAACAAGTTCTTACATATCCATGTCAGTATGCATACCAATCTGTGGTTTTCGACAAAATCGGTGATTATTTGTATAGATTTGTGAAGAGTTTTGTGTAAATGCATACGACACATGTGAAATGTTTCATTTGATTTGGGATCTAAATATATGCCTTCACACGGATGGAATGAACGTTTCAGTAATAAATGGAGGTAAGACCAAGGAATGAGTACTTTTTACTTTTTAATTCATTCAACAAATACATTTCATCGGTCGTTTACTTTCTGTTCTGTTGCCTGCTAGCTTTATCAGCGGGATTTCGCTAAGAGGCGAGCTTGACGCCGTATTGTTTTGGTTTGAAACGGGGCGTGGCTTACGTGCGATGGGAGGAGCTTAACACGATTGATCATGAATTTATCGCAGATTAGAATATGGTCCGTATCCAATCAAAACACGCGTTGCAAACGAATCGTGTTAGAATTAGGGGATAGTACGTTGTTTTGAGTGGCTATACTGGCGATTAACATGAAAATTGGGTTTGAACCGGTCGAGAGTTTAAACCAAATTTCATGTTCTAATCGCCAGTATAGCCACTCAAAACAACGTACTATCCCCATTCTAACACACCTTAACAAATACACCACGCTAATATGTTTAGAAACATAGTATTTCCTTGTTTAAAAGTACTTAGTAAAATACTTTGTGACCTGAACTGGCGACGTGTCAATCTGCAGCGGACTGACCAATCGGAAAGAAGCTTTCAAAAGTCGGTCATTTGGCCCCGCCCATACTGGCGAGCGCTCGATCTGTATGTTGACGAGGCGGAATATTTGGATTGTTCGTGAACGTCCTGTTACCAAAGTTTCTACGACACATTTGGATTAATATTGACCAAGTTCTTAAATTTACATGTCAGTATTAGAACCAATCTGTGCTTATCGACAAAATCGGTGATTATTTGTATAGATTTGTGAAGAGTTTTGTGTAATTGTAAATGCATACGACACATGTGTAATGTTTCATTTGATTTCGGATCTAAAAAGATGCCTTCACACGGATGGAACGAAAGTTTCAGTAATAAATGGAGGTAAGAACATTTCATCGGTCGTTTTTGTTCCTACTAGCCTTATCAGCGGGATTTCGCTAAGAGGCGAGCTTGACGCCATATTGTTTTGGGTAGAAACGGGGCGTGGCTTAAGTGCGATGGGAGGAGCTTATCACGATTGATCATGATTCTATCGCAGATTAGAACATGGTCCGTATCCAATCAAAACACGCGTTGCAAACGAATCGTGTTAGAATGAAATATAAAGGATGCCTTTATTTTATCGATTCTCGAATTTAGATGGGTGGCTATTCAAAACCTTGGGATGGATTACTAAAAGAAAGTCAACAATGAACAGCATGTTAGATTAGAAAATAAACAAATTAGTATAACCACAACACTGATTTTACGAAATACATATAACAAAATAGTCGGTTTGTGCAGAAAATAGAACAAATTTATTATAAGGTCAGCCAACAATTATGCAATTCTGTTAAATAGACTTAGCATTATTCAAATGTCAATTTTTCCTTTCTGCTTCTAGACTTGCAAACATGCTTGGTGATACCGTAAAAAATCTTCCTCTATCAGAAACGCAATTACACCATACTGGATATCGTAAAGTAAACATCACCCAGACAAGATTTAAAAATGGAGCACAATCAATGATGACCTTTATAAATGTAAAGTTGAAGCGTGTCCTGCATGTAATTGTGGAAAGCCAGCTAAAAAGGGCGTTTATATTTTATTTTGTTAGCTGTCATTGTCCAACCGTCCGATGAAATTACAAAATGTAATGGAATAAAACAATTTCACACAGGTCGAACTTTTCCCCTTTGACTATCCTTTTTCTTCATACTATATCCCCATGATCCTGAACTTCCACTCTTCTCAGTTATGTTGTATGTTACTATAGGGAAAGGATGACGATGAATTTTAGAAACGTTTGCCGAATTGTTAATAAACTAAACTCTTATATTCCAATCTTCTGCAGTAAATTTTGATGTGACGGTACGGATATTATTACAGTGTAGTGGCAATCAGTAAGGGTTTATATCATGAAAATACGATGTCTGTCTAGAAAGTTTTTAACTCAAATTACCCCATGTACAGACTTATCAACATTACAAAAACCTCTATAAGTCTGGACAGAAAATTGGAGGATTCCCGCAAAAAACCCAAAACGCCGTCGAAATGAAACCGTAAGTACTATGGCAGACAGAAAACCCCATTATGAATGATAACGTCAACATTACACCTGCTGATACACGTTGACTTCATTACCGCCATATTAGACTAACTGTTACATGTAGTCTAGCTGCAATAAATTCGAATTTCAACGGTTACAGACAGTCACTACAACCGGAAACGAAAATCACGCATGCGCACAGCCCGTGATTAGTGCAGGTGTTATCAGATTTCGGCGGAAACAAAACTCCGGTAGAGATTGATTGTGACGTGAATTTGATGGATTGGAGGAAATGTTTTTCGTGATAAGATCTGCCGCGGTTACATCTGATCATACACTTTGGCGCTTGGCCGCACGCAGAAATCGTCCAATGTTCTGTTAAGATTTTGCAATCATTAAAAAGCGAATTGCATGTTATAGATATTTGATCAATTTACAGAGTTATACAGCCCGACGTTTAATAGGCTTCGTTGATTGGTAAGATATTCAAAACGAAGCGAACCTACACGACCAAGTAGTTTGCGAGGGATGGTCTGCACAGTCGACGGCTTCTGAAACACTTGTGTTACACGGGATGTGCACACAATTTTACTATCTTGTCTTTCCTGAAATAGCGAAATATTCCCAAAATAATTTGGTTTTATTTTTGGTTTCTGATATGGAATATAAAACAAGGTTTTCCGTTTAGATTTGACTGGTGCAAATATCGGAGAACACTGCAGGTTGGTCTGTATGGCACTGTGCATGCTGTACAACATAGAATGGCTTAATGATTGTATCAGATATAGACCCTCAATACAAGACTACCCATGGATGTCTGCCTGTGACAGAGTCGGTACTGTCGATGCTATAAAACAGAATTACACCCAAAACCACAATGATACGTACTGATATCATCTACATACGTCACACTTAGATTTCAAATAGGTTCGGAATTTCAGAAGTCTATACATTTCATCTGCAACACAAATGTGAATGTTTATCGGGAAAGACATGTATATAGATCTTGTACGTAGCAAGTGGCAGCGTTGTTTGATAAACACCCCGTTATAACTCGCGTGGAGACATGTAACAGGGTTCAATATGGCGGAAAGTCAAACGCAATTAAATTTAACCTTCAGTTTCGACAATAAACTAATAATATTACTTTGTTTTAAAGAAAGCCACGATAACATCCAAGGTCTTAATGCCAATGGCTAACAGCATGAAACACAATAAAATCTACCGCTTTGTTATCAATGTTCTGCACACGTGACTTTTGATGTGTAATTGCTATGCGCAAGACAAACACAGCCGTTCATATCATTGTGATCTTGAACTGAGCGAATGAGCGTGCGATACATGATTTTTGGTGACCCTAAAAGATACCCCGGTTCTCTTAAAGGTCATTTTTACTACGAAAACAAAAACAAAAAAATAAACAAAAAAATAGGGTGAGAATGTAAACGGATTCATGTGTCATTAAATATACGAGAACCACATTTTAATTTTATGTTGAGAAATATTGTAGTACACATGCGTTAATTGTGAAGTTATGAATGTTTTCATCGACAGAGACATCTATATTTAGACACGACTGAGCCGTGCATATATTTCCAAAGTAAGCTTAATATCATGCTTAAAAATGATTTTAACGCTTGCTGTTTGAATTTGATTACTGTTTTAACTATTTACCGACTTAAGCTAATGGTTGATGCAAATGATGCCTTCACACTTCCGTAACTAACATTTCAGGAAGAGTTTCCTTCTCATATATACAATACAACCCTAGAGGTTTCCGTTCACGTTTTATTAAATTCATGCAATGTTTATTATGGGATGGCGATCAATAAAGCATTCCAATAGTTGCGGTAGATTACCAACATGCCGCGAACTTGGTGTTCCGTTACCGGAAGTCATCCGTGTTTGTTTACAAATAATTTGATTGGTCCAAGCGGAGAACGAGCGCCCACTGGCGACAGTGGTAATACAAGGAGGTCCTTCACCGTTACAATATCATATAATGATCAAATGCATTGTTTTGTTATCTAAATATAAAACATGAAATGTTCGGGAGTAATCCCTGATGCGTATTTTTGATAAAGTCTGTCTGACATTTAAAGAAGAAAATCTCATTTCAAACAAACTCATTTCTAAGTCGATAATGAGAGCTAGCCAGTGGAACGCTGTAATCTTATTTACCGATCTAAATATTATATTTGACTTTCTTGACGAGGGATGTTCGGGTCCAAAGATGAATAAGTGTATTTTTGTATTTATAGACAACGGCAAGGCACTAACTAAGGAATACGTCAGGACGGCGTTTTCAGGGATGTAAAAGCGATTAATGGCCATTGTCTTTACAAAAAATATTTCTCAAATGATATTATTAAGCATTGACTATTAATTATTTTTTATATACCAGGTAGTCCCTAAGGTTCCCATCATTCAAAAATATCTGACTTAAAAAAATATATCGTTGAACAAGGATTCGATAACTGTATTCAACCTACCTGTGTATAGTGTACAATGTTGCACAGTTTGGCTTTATCATTGTTTCATTTAACTAGCTTCTCGTGGGATTAGTTGTATTCAACAATACCCTTAAACTTCCGGTTTAATAGGTGTTTGTATTTGTTCGAAAAACCGTGATACCCTTTGGTAGAATATCTTATAGAATTATAGGAGCGATATTGTTAGAACAAGTTCTGTTTAACGTTGCACTACAACAGATTCGATTGCTGTATTGTACTTACTTGTGTAATTTCAATAATGTAGCAATAGAACGGGTTCAATTGCTTTATTGTACTTACTTGTCGGAGCCAAACACTTGTCGTCATGATCTGACTCTTCTCGTCCTGAAAGAAACAAGGAATATGTCATTAGTAACCAACCCCTGCGCCATCAAGTGACTGGGCTAACACCGGCAGAAATTACATTTGGTCGGCAAATACAGAGCTAACGAACGACGCGGATGTCATTGCATTCAAAGGAGAGATCATGGAAATATGGTGTTCCGGGGTCCCAACAAGGGGCAGCCGTGCTCATTAAATAAGACCAGAATAAATCAATCAGGTGGTACTTTGTTTTAAACAAGGCAGTGACAAGACGTATCCATGCAAACGATATGTCATTAAAACCTCCTACTCAAACGGGGACTGGCCACACTTTCTTGGTTTGTGTAGCTGTTATGTCTCAATCCCCCTTGGGAGCCTCTGAATATAACTGTTTCCGTAATTTCGGACAGGAGTTATGTCCCGAAAAGATACACTGAACAGCGGAAGTATAATACCGGATGTGCTCCAAGGACACTCGAGTTGACAGGTCTTTCCATAGAAACGGTACAGACCGCGCTTAAATATTAATTGAAGAAATTTGATCATAACGATGCAGTGCAGTATTGAGGTTACATAGAATCCCCTCGGTTCCAAACTAAGATACACAGAAACGTGATGCCGTTTACAGATATTGGTCCTATAGAATGTCTATTATAAAATATCGTAACATTTTGTTCAAGACATCCGAAGATATGTTATCCCAAATAGACGTTGCCTCTTGACCTTTGGGTGCAGACTCTTATCTGCAAACAGCCTTCCAAAAAACTGATTATACGATTTCAGAAATTACGTCCGCACATTCAACAACATTGATAAGAGCAGCACAGATGCTGCATAAGAATCAGAAATCAGAGATACTCGGATGTCAGCGTTCTCCGTGATTGACGTGGTTTATCAATATGTAAAGTAAGTTTGTTTTTTAATTACATCAGCATGTTTAGAGGGAGCGGCTTTACGAGGCTCAGTGCGGGAACTCTACAGGGGTAACTGCCACTTGTTCCATGCGAGTACCGACAGGTGGGGCTTAACGCTGTAACTCTATGACCATAAGGTTGTTAGTCTGAAGGAATTATAGGGGAATTTTAATTACGTTGCCCACGTAGTTTTTGCAAGTCTAGATACAAATTCATTATGTTGTCAACTGTATAAAAACACCTTTTTGTTGAAATATTTTTGTAGAAAAAATGGGTTTGGGCCAAAAAAGCGGATCTTTTGCCATATATGGATTATGTGCGCACGTTAACTAGAATCACACAATTTGCGTTCGTGATGTGGCAAAGTATGAGCACGTCGCATTGTGCGCTTTCATCATACAGTGCTGGAACGTACCCATTTGAGTAACTAGGTTAACTAGAATCACATTAGCTAGTCCAGTGTCTTACTTACTAATACTTATACAATATTTGTTATAGCGCCATATTTAGCAAAAACAAACACAACTCTATCAATATAATTTGAAAAAGATCAGCTATATCAGTATCATTTCAAAGAAGCTCTATCGATACAATTGCACGGTAACTAACTACAAGTCATATGCCACTTGGCTAAATACCTCCTTATGTGTTCGTGCTTGCGTATTTGATGGATGCGTATTAGTGTTCAATTTGCAGTGGACTATTTTTTTTAATCGCATCTTTTTAATATAGTGTCACCTTATTTGAATATAACAGCACAGACACTGTAGCATAAATCCTGAACATCTTATTCCATCCGGGTTATTGAAGTTATATGGGCGAGGAAAAGTCATGCATACAACCCTTTTTACGACATTTTCTGGTATCGAACCCCGGCCGTCTGCGTGGAAGGCCTGGGTGTTACCACTCGCCGAAACCTGGCTATTATTAACTCCGTGTAAATATTACTCTACTATAATGGCAGTCTCGGAACATGACTCTACATGACTGTCAAGATTATTTGAAATAACGCACCACACTAAAAGTTTAATTTCACAAACCATATTGATCTGATACAGCTTTACAGTGAAAGAAACAACCAATTGTTGTCTCAAATCCGTAACCCTACAAATGTCAAAGTGGTATACTTTTACCAAATCAAAATTTCAGACGCGTATTAAGAATTTCTGAAGGGAGAAAGCGATTTTTTTGATAACTCACATGCAGATACGGATTATGCTAGCGTTTAATTTCACTCTTTCTACGTTCGGGTGGGGAAGGGATACCCCACCCCAACCATCAACACCAACAAACAAATCAACATCCCCACTCCTCCCTAGAATTGATATGAGGAATGTGTCTACAACATGCTAAGATATAGATTTGGGTAAGTGACGAGAAACATGATCACCGCAAGACATTTTGGGACGCTGCATTCCTCAAATTTTATAGAAATAAGCCTTTTAGCAGAGGACAAATCCACAGCACCATTAATCGGATGGCGCTTTGTTGCGTTTGAATTCCCATATCAATTGACTTTAACGCCCAGAGCCCTGGAGCGAATGCTATTAAAAGTCGACCGCATTGAACTCGCTTCGTTAATTTCTGTATATAAGCGCATCTATGCGTAAAATTTTGTTACAATTAAATAAATTTTTGGTTATTTGTAGTAATTTTTCCTACCGGGTAATATGTTTTTCGGGATTACGTGATATTTTCTCAAGGCCAAGTTATACATTTAGCAGTTTCCCGATGACATCCTGTCATCGTTCTGCCTATCTTCCTCTTCCAGCGCGGGCGCCTCCTGCCGACCGGATTGACGTCTGCCAATTAATCCTATCGTCTGCTACGCCCCAAAAAACGCTCTAGACGTTGACAAAAGGGTTGTTCGTGGCAGCGTTTCCCACCTAAGTGGGACCGAACCTGTCTTGTGTCGGTGGTATAACCAATTACAATGAAAGCATTGCCTTTGTCACTCTTTGACGTCGAACTGGTATTATAAGTGTAGTCTAACTTATAACAAAGGGGATAGGAACTGCTGTGATTTGAAGTAAGATGGATTAAATTTCGCTTGTGAATATGTACATGCATTTATAGTTTCAGAAGTTTGTATATCTCGTCGTTTGATCTATAAGCTAAACCTGATACAGAAGACGTTATCTTTATACAAAAGGCAAACACATGGCGTTAGAAAAATCGTTTTCGATTTAGTCAATGGCGGTTATTGGGTATTAGCGAGTTGATGGAATGGCATGGGTGACATTGCGTAACCTCTAACGCCGATGCAGGTTATCAATTAATTCCGGACGTGTACGCTACGGCAAGAAAAATGAAGTCTGCGACGCCTAACAGCAGACAAGCCGAATAAATCCATTGCTCATGTTCTTGATCCAGAGTATTGGGCGGGCGAGGGTCCACCATTACGGTCGCCTCGAATCCACCGCATCACTCTAGAGACGATTTAACGTCGAATGTTTTATCATTGCCCAAATTGATAGTTTAACCCGCTGGCCGGTCCCTCCCGAGTTCGTGAGGTCTGATGACACGTGGGGGACGTAACCTGCCCCATTAGTGCCAGGACTTTCGTGAAGGCCTCCGAAATCCTTTTAGCAGACGTGCTGGAGACAGACAGGACTCGACAACAACTGATGTCTTTTTACCAATTAGCCGATAAACAGTTATACAAAGGAAGCAATTTAATATACACGTTAGAACGGAATGACGAAATAATTCAAATGAATAGATATTCAGAAAATGGGTTTGGTTTTGTTTCAAACATCAACCAGTTTGGCCATTTCCGGTCAACGTTTTCCTGAACAGTACTGCTGAGATCGCCCAGGTTACCGATTAGGAGGGAAGTTATTTGTCGTTATTATGTTACATAAACGTATTTTTTGTATCACCATGGTGATGAATGTCCATTAAAACCAAGTCAGCACAAATCACAGAGGTGTGGGCAACTAATCAGCCAAATTTGTAACAGATATACTGTAATTGTCCCGGCAGTCTTTGCTGCCAGACGAAGTCTGACTCGTCCCGAACCCAAATACGGAGAGCAGACATGCCGGTACAATACAATGCTGAGTATGGCTACCTTATCAGATACAAAAAAACCAATGGATGTCGATCTAGTCAGCGTGAATACAAAACTGGGGAAATTTGGGTCAGAGTCCTTAAAGACGTTCAGACATAACACGAGGAAGCAGATAGCCAGAGCCTTTGTGTATTGTCTTCATTTGAAATACAGCATGTAGCACTTTCAGATAGGATCGTTGTTCCGAATGTCTCGACACAATGGTACTGTCGTCTGTACTGGGGTCGGTACAGGCAGGAAACATATACTGTTTACAAGTACACAGAATATACACGGAGATTTTATCTCCGGTATATGATTTGTATTATTTTTCGTGATTGGTTTTCATATTTTAATGTAACATATTCTTTTAAACATTATACTCGACTCAGTAAGATGCAGATACTACTTTTACATTATAAATTGATTATTTTTTTATTAAGATGACAAAAACTAATTGGTAATACTATAATTATTTAATAGTAAATCAGTTTGAAGTATGAACTATTATTTTTACTATTATTCTCGAATAAGGAAGATAGCATTTTGATCTAAGGTAAGATTTTACCATAAAATAAGTAAGATAGGTTTTCTTTTTGATATATCTAAGGTCAGTTTTTAACCATTAAATATTAAATATTCTTTTTAACATAATACTAAAATTAATTGTATCTACACTATTATTGATTTAGATGACAAATTGATGATAATGTAATATACATGTAATTATAGGAAATTAACGTGTATATCAGAATTTAATTTGTAGAATCCTACAGCTGTCTGAGTGTCTACGACATCTATTGTCCGGTGATAAAGATTTATTTTGTATATTTAACATAAGCATCTCCGTGCCTCTCAATACCGCGCATATTACAACAACTGCTCTCCCGTATGACGTACAGTCTGATGTGTCAGGGACAGTCTGATAACACATACATCATACCATTGTGTCCTGTAGCGCCACTCTTTGTGTCGTTAATGACTCCGGGTGTCACTTGGCGAGCTACTTTACGGGACAGACTTCTGAAGAACGATTTGTTGTCACATAAAATCAG